TTTGATAAGTTTTTATTAAACATTTATGCAAATTCACGTATTAATTTAATAATCAAAACGCTACAAAAGCTACATCACGGTAGTATGTTAAAAAAAATTTGCAAATTTTTTAAGTTTATTTTACGCAACGCTTGATCGCGTTGATAATAATCTGCTTTGTCCTGATTTATGCGAAATCTAGAAAAGAGGCCAATATAACGGACGGCGAAACAATGGAGCGCTTAATTCGGATTGTAATTTGCATGGCGGTAACGCGGCGGAACTTGCCGTCGATCACGGGCGCACCGCGTCGATGCACCGAAACGAGTCCGTCGCTTGTTGCGGAAGGATCGTTTGAACGGACCTTTGAGGAGCGATCTTCGCGGAAATTTCGCCAGTCACGGGAAATTCGGCAACGAGGACATTCCATGTTATATAGCGGATGACGTTGAAATTGAGGACAGGCGCTACGTTGTGTCCGGCCAATTAAGGTGAAAGGGTTGTCCGGCCGACCTCTGACCGAATTTCGTATAGCAGCTGCACGAAATTGCCTCGAAAATCTCTCGCAAGTTTTAGGGCGCTTTAGCTTTTTTTTATCGATCGCTAAAAAACACGGTGAAGCGCGCCGTATATTGAAAATATTTTCAGCAGCGATGTTAAAATAATATATTCGAAGCGCTTGAGGCAATAACGGGTTAAAGAACGGCGTGAAAATATTGGTTGATGTTTATCTACAATTTTACGGTTTCAATAACAAATTTCGCGCGTAATATTTTTTATTAAATGTTATTTCCGTTTAATGCTAAATTTCGCGATGAATCATTGAATCGATAAATCATTAGCGAAATACTTAAATTGCTTGTTGCAATTGTGGATTTTATCGTATAACCATTATTTCATTTTGTTATAACAATATTTCATTGAGAGTTCACTACTTTATTATTGTCCAGTTCAGTATTTAAAAAATTTTATTAATTTAAAGTTAATATATTTTTAATTTTTTTTCGGATTGGCATACATCGCATAAAAAAAGAGCAAAGTCGACAGCAGGTGACACCTGTAAGGATCTACGATCCATTTAAACGTGCTCGCTCGATAAAATAGAGAGACGATCGAAATCTAACGGGTGGCAAATGTCGAAAGATGAAGCTGGTGTGCGGTTGAATCGAATTCGCAATCGACGATTAATCGTGGAGCGTGCACTTCATGATTACACGGTGCGAGTCGGCAAGGCGCATCGCGCCTGGTAAAATCGTAACGTTTAGTTTAACACGCGGCGATGTATGTGCATTATTCATGTATCGCGGAATTTAGTAGCTCGAAATGCAACGACACCTTCGTTAACGCGCTACACCGTCACGACTACGCGGCGATACTTATGTTTAATTAATGCACTGTGCGCAATTAGAGGCAATTTAGAACAATTACGATCAACGGGCAGAACTGCAAAGGCAGCGAAATATGTCGAGATTTTCTTTCATCTGCGATTAAGTTCGTATTAAGATGATCAATAAATCTTATCTCATTTGAAAAAAAAAAAACGCATTCGACATAATATGTTAAAATATAGTCTGCAAGAGATGGCTGGAAATACGTGAGAACGAGGGAAAAAAGTGAAATTGAATATTTAAGAAATGGAATTAATACATTTTATGTTTAATTAATATTAATTAGTGAACCAATTGATATATTCTACATTTCCGTATTCCATAGATAAAAATTAATAAGTCAATTGTGAAATAAAACTATGATAATAAGATTCACTTTAATTTATACAATTACTGAGTAGGAAACCTGTTCTCTTCAATTAGGAAAGGAGGGAGATATCGACTAATGTACGAAAGAAAAGAGAAACAGCACAATGCACGTGTGTACTAAAGCCACGAGGTACATCATTTTGTTTGTCATTTATTTCCTAAAACAAGAGTGTCACGGCTCTCTGAAGAGACCGCGCGATGTCATAATTAGCGCATGTGCTGCGGGCGATGTCCCATTCTCTTTTGTTTTTTGTAGAAATTCGTGCACTCTGTCTGGTCTCGATGGTCCCGGTATGATCCCTCGCGGTCCTGATAATGAGAAAAAAAAACAGAAGAGGAAAAACTTAGGCGACAAACAGCCGGATCCCTTTTGTGACGCGAATGCTCGCCGTGTAGGATTGCGGAAGAAGATAAAGCGAGAGGAAGAGAGAAACGGAAGAAAAGAAGAAGAGAGAATCACCATCAAGCCAGCGCCCCTGGGTGTTAGTAGAGCCGTCCAAAACCCTCGTACAATCCTAACGAGCGTATTGCGGAAATGTAGCAACATGGAGTAGTTTCCTGATCGAAGCGCGCGCAGTCGTTTCGCGGATTAGGGCTTACGTCAACAAACATTGCCGCGCAATCACCGTCACGTAAATAAGATAAATTCGAAATCGCGTTCACCGTTTGTCGAGTTGTCGTCGCGCGGCAGAGCGAGATTTCCCGAAAGCAATGAACTTTCGTGGTTTGAGCGTGATAGCGCGCAGTCGTGATTCGTGAGAAAGGCGAGAAGAAAAAAGCTTTGAAGAACTTGATTCGCAGAGAAACAAAAAGGGCGCGGAAGAAGAGACAACCCCTTTGAGAGACCTTCCGCAAACCGGGAAGAGGTGAAGAAGTGAGTGGAGTTAAAAGGAGCGAGAGCGCGAATAGGGAGGTGAGATAAAGCCGATGCGCGATAACAAAGAACGCGGGCGATGCGCTTTGTGCTCCTGGCAAAGAGAATAGAATCTCGCGGAGGTAGCAGGGAGGATGACGCGGTGGGTGATGCGTATTGTGGATATTCGAAACAAGAAGGCGGACGGCGGCCGGAGTGCTCTCTCTTTCTCCCCAGAGGGGTTCGAAGAGACCATTGAAAAACAACACGGTTCGCCGGAGTGCCTACGGCAAGAACTCATCGAGATTCGATTTTACACGGCGCGTTCGTCGCAAAGCGATGTCTATATTCAGAATATTGCATTTCGACCGTGTATTACGACGCCGCGAATATACAGTCTTATTTTTCCATCTCGTACGTCTAATCCCTGTGATTATCTACATATATATATTAAAATTAAAATAGAAGTTATAATAATGTACAAATTGTTGCTTCCTCAAGTTTTCCACGGCGGAAAATCATTCTTATAACATTTCAGATATGTCATTTCGATAAGCTAAAATCGACGCGAGACAAATTACATTTATTTATATTAATTAAATGACAAAAAAAATTTGCCCTCTTAAATGCTTATTGAATTCCGCAAATTCTAGTACATCGAGAGAAACTCTGAGAGAAGCCTGACCAGCAACAAATTCGACGTACAACAATCGCAATAAGCGTCTGAGTACCATCGGTGTTGGAGCACCAGCAACGCGGGACACAGCAAAGGCATCTAAATCCGATTAGACGCCACACTAAATCACATTCAACGCTGCGCGCCGTTGTTAAGTGTCTCACCTGCCACTCGGATCTCTCTCTAAAGGCGTTTCGCGGAGTACGTTAGATTATCAGGGGGTGCCTCGCAGTCTTCCGGCAATGTGTCTTACACGCTCCAGCGATCCATCTAGAGCACCAGACTTCATCTCGACGTCATGCCGCGACAAGAAGTGAGAACTTTGTTCAGTGTTTTATTAAACACATTATCATAAAATATTAATATTCAACGAGTGTAATGAAATATCAAATGTGTTGAAAAGAACAAGATTTTCTAACGTCTTTCCCCCTCAACTCGCTGGAAAAATTGCAATAGCAATTAAATTTACATCGGTCTGCAAAATATCGTATAACCTGCGCGCGACAAAGCGCCGCGGTAAAACGTTATGTTTAATTCTCTCGCATGTAACTCGACGGACGCGTTATCGCGTTTAATCAAGCAATCACGCGTCAGACATGGTGCACGCAATAAGGAATTAATTAATCCGCATCTATCTGTGAGCGCATTGTACCGCGAAACTCCGGAGTGGGCGGAGAAGCGTGAATAATCGCGCGCACAAGCGCGATCGAGAATCGATCATTGACTGCGATGCGCTTAAGCCCTCCTCTTTCTTCCCCCGCCCGACCACTTCCCCTCCATTTTTCTCATGATCCCGTAAATATTTTCGCAAGTCGCGCCACCGCTCCCGCCGCGAACGCAACGTCATTACACAGCTGCGCCCTTAATAACAGCGCGCGATATAGTGCATGTCATGTAACCGCGTAACCAAACGACGATATAAGAGCTTTGCAGATCGCATGCATCACTGTCATGCAAATCGCTTTCCCCCTCCTCTCCCACCTTCGCGTACAGCTTGTTTTAACTATTCGCGCGCACTTCTCGTTCAGCCTCGTCCAACCGTTAATTAATATGCATCGTCGCGTTGATTATTTGTGACGCGAATTGTTTATCGTTGATAAATTGGATTTCAGCTATTCGATAGTCCACGATTAATTAAAGAAAAATTCTCAGAAACTGTGTGACGAATAATGAAGGTAAAGCTCACATTCTGTACGTTTTCAGATTTGAGTTGAATTAAGAAAATGTCTCACGTATGAAAATTCAAGTAAATCGTTTGAATGTTACCTTTGATTGCACATAAATTGAATACGACGATAGAACAATGAGGTCTTGATATCGAAACAAATTAAAGTATGCGAGTTTTACCTTAAAAAGTTTTTACCAATAATAACATTTATCGCAAACGTGTCGCGAAAGCTTATGGAAGTCGCACTGAGAAAAGATTCAAATGTTCTATTATAAGAGCGTGCAATTTGCATTTTATCGGTTGCTGCTGGTCGGAAAATTTCGCGCAACACACGGAGCTCGACGTGCGAACAAACGTGGAGTTTCCGCGCGAAACTAGCACATCAACATGCAAATTGCGAAAGGATCTCACAGAGTCAGCATGCTTTTCCGAAAGAAGCGGGCCAAATGCGGGCGATAGGGAATAAAGCGCGTGAGAGAAGGCGACAGAAAGGGTCTTGGGGAGAAGCGGGTGAGTGTTAATGCAAATTGTACTTTCGCAAGCGTTTTCTAAGCATCGAGCGCTTACCTGGTCACTATCATGTCCTTGCCAGCTATCGTGACTCTGTAATAAAAAAAGACATCCAATCAGAAAATGCCATTACAAACAAATTCACAAAATAATATTCTTAAAATGTTTATAAATTGTCGGAATTATAGCGCAATTTTTATTACCGTTTGACTGATTATTCTTACGTGTAATACAGCTATCATTGCCTCGTATTATTATTTTATAATAACTATTTGAATTTGATGTTTAAACAACGTACATACACGTATGTGTTACGTAGTTTTATTTTAATAGAATCTTTATATTCTAGCCGCAATACTTTCGGCTATTTCCCGATACATAGGAAATGTATAGTGGCTCAATGCCGTGTAACGTTACACTGCAACTTTTGCGAATAATAGCCGTCCACGCTATCGTCGTCACGAAGAAATATCGGGACAACACTATTTCGAATCGTGGCGGTAGCATGTGTTCGACGTGGTGCTATTGTATGCGGACTATTGTCTTCGGGGCAAACAAACAGGTCGACGACTGGCTTGTATACCTTATTCTCGCGTAATATTGGACAATAACTTGAAAGCTTAACTGGCATATGAATTTTGTTTACTTATGTACTCTTTTGCCCATTATTGACACGAGTTCTTTTGAAAATGAGCTCTTATTGTTGCTCAACTCTCCGATTTTCCGATTGAATATTCTCGCCATGTATATAACATATTAATAATTTAAAATATCTATTGGAAATTTATGCCACGACATATTGTCGCGCAAAATACAACCGTGAGACATGTGTGTGAAATGCGGGGCGGAAGTTGCGTTGAAAATATCACGCGACAGCGTACAAATTCCTTGTTTATTGAATATTAAAAGCAAGAAATGTTGTCATGAAACACGGTGACACGGTCCAATTTTCCACTCTACTGGTCCACGACGAATCTCGGCAACATCGAGATTTATTTCTCGATGGTTCACTCGCTCGCTCGTTCGCTCGCGCGATTGCGCCGACGAAAAATCGAGAGAAAAACGATAGGCAAAGGTTTGCAACGAGGTACGCAGGTCCTTTCCCATCAAACGCACGACACGACGGTAATGCGTTTCGCAATGTGCATACGAGGACGTTTTGCCAATTAAAGAGAAAAATTTGTTTTTGCGGGAAAAATCTGGGCAATCTCAAACCGCCGTGGTTTCTCGCATTATATTCTTGGTTATGGAAAAGTGGCAAGAGGAAAATTCGTCAGAAATATTTCCTCCCTTTCGCCATTCGTGCAGTTTTGCCGGTTTCACCATACACCGCGGCACGAGCGGTTTATTAAATCGATATGAACAATATTTCCGATGTTTGCCGCACGCGAGAACTCGTACGTCCTTTTTACCGCGATATCGCGGTCGTTCGATCACGCCATAAAAATCTCAGCCGCTGACGCGATACGCTGCCGAGACCGTTAAATAGTACTGTAAATATATTTATCGAGGCTGATAGTTGGAACTTATCTACTTTCCAACGCGATCGATAACGGTCCTAACATTTGGATCGCGCTATGGATATTAACTCTCAATTTATGAAATTACGGCGATTGCATTGAACAGTGTAAATATGAATATTTAATAATCACTGTTGTTATAATATTAGATTAACAGAGCTTTACGAGTAAAACTTGTACATAAAATCTGTACAATTAAAAAAAAAGTTGAAACATATTTGTTTACAATTCGTTTAATATAATTTCTGTGTACAAATGCATATTTACAGCTCGTTGTACATCCGCGTATTTTATTGAGTATGATATATGCAGCGCTTATATCGTACAAAACATATCAACATAAAGAATAATTTCGGTAATTTCCATTTTTCACATAAATATAATTATGAAGTGGAAGTAGAATAAATATAACGCGGCATCCCTCGTGGGCGTGCGACAGGAAGTGCTGTTTCGAAACTTTTATGTCTGCGTCGCAGAAGACGCAGAAACGGGAACTTCAACTGTGACATTCGCGGAAAAAGATTTACAAACGGCTAATTGACTTTCCAGAGCCGCGGTGATTTTTAACGGGCAGTTCACGGAACGTTTCGCGCCGGTGCTCGTAACTCCGACGCGGTTCATTAAATCGACGTAAATAATACGTCGGGGGAGTGCATGGACGGCTATTTTATCGGACGCGGAGGTCGGGCCGGTGTCGGTCGGAAATATAAGCGGCGGTCGGCGGGTTAATGTTGGGCCGCCTTGTTAGATTTATGACAGCAATATAGGCGTCATGGAGGCGACGTCGAAACGTGCTCTGTGTACTCGGAGTAACGTTTGTTACGATGCCCATTCGATATACACATCGCGGGAATTTATGGAAATCGCGAGCCGCGCGTCCTGTAAACACTTTTTTAATATCGAATTTCTCGCTGTAAAAACACCGGGGGCCGCGCCTCGCTGCTAGCCCGAGATTAATTGTCTTACTTTAGAATTTTATCTCAGCGCGATAGGCATTTGCGCCGACGGGGGATCGATACGGGTGTATCGGGAAACAGACGAGAGTCACGGTTGCTCGATAAGAGAACATTATTTCGCGGGAGATTTTTCAGTGCCGTGTTCAGTTTTTGACGTAACGGCAGTTTTATTGAAAATCTGTTGCGCAAAGTTATACAGCATTATGGAGAAACTGTGTACGATACTTGACCGAGACGTTTCTGCCTTTGCCGCGCTAGGAATAAGTGAAAAAAGATCCTCGGAGCCAACTGTGGTCAGTCCCTTTAAGAACTTACTCTTTAACATTTATCTTTACGCATCTGTACATATCCGCGTACAAAGAGACTGAACTAACGTTTACGTCCCTTTAAAGCGGCACTGTTTCTTTCGCGTCGCGACAAGAGAGAATCGTGGATCGCGACGATGCCGACAGTTCCCCTTTAAGTGCACCCTATTATGCAAGTCAGTCAGTCATGTCGCCTCGTTTTTTTGGCAACGGCCTAAGAAGTATCTGACTCGCTCATAATTAACCCGGCACTGACTGCGTGTGAAAGAATATGCAAAATATTTAATAAAATATTTCAAACGAATTTTTCTTCTCGCCAAAAATCAAGCCACTTTTATTTGAAATAAATCGTGCGGTGAGCTGCAATATGCATTTCAATATTGACTGTTCCTTTTAATGCTGCCGCGTTGCATAAAGTTGCTCTCCCAATTAATATCGAGACTCGGTCCGAGCCCGGAACATGCAAATGCAATCAGGCGGGCTTCCCGGTTGCGCGTCTAATGATTCTTTACGGCGAATAGATCGGCGGATAGATGCTCTCCGCGGCGAGCCGAACTTAATCGCGAGCTCCGGGTGAATCGGTGCATTCGTAACTTTCGACAACCAAGCGGGGCGGAATACGTAGACCAACAATGGCGAAAAAGTTTTCTCGTTTCCAATCGACTTCCAACTCCCGGCGCCCCCGTTCTGCTTAAACGCGCGGCCCTTATTTGCATTGCGTTTTATCTTTACTTAAGGCTCCGTTGTGCTTCGATTTCGCCGGGTGAGGTCGCCGTTCCGACGCGTCGTTTTTTAACGCGGAAGTTGAACGGAATTAAAGACGAGGCAAAAAGCGAGAGAATTATTCGGTCGAATCATACAGTTTTTTGCGAGAAATTGTCGTTAGTAGAATTGTATGATTAATTAGGTAGTATTAAGCTTTAATTATTTTTCACGAATGCTTTTACAAAGCATTCGTGAAACAAAATTTCGGATTTAATCCGATTTAATCTGTGGATACTGATTATTTGAAGAGATACATATTTGCATTTTGGCTAGCTAATCCAACGTCATAAAAAATTAACGTTTCATTGACGCGTTAGATGGTTTATTAAAATTGAGAGGGAAATGCGAAAGAATACGCCAAAAACAATGAGAACGTCGGCTATGATGAAAATAGGCTTTGAAATATCACATTAAAATTCCGACTTTTTTATTTGCACAAAATTCGCAATTGATTTGTTTTTTTCTCTTTCTATCTTCCACATTTCGGATTAATGAAAATTCACGTGAATTTACGTCCAATTCTAGAAAAAGTTCATTAACTGCAATTCGACGAACTCTACTTTCGCGATACGCAATGAAGAGATGGTTAATGAGGCTATGAAGTGTAATCATGCAAAAATAAGCACAAAATTATTCACATTTTCGATTAAGCACTCGTAGCGAGCGATAATTACGGCTCGTTTAACTCGCATACAGCGCAGAGGCAGCAATTATTCGATCGTTACAACATTTATTTACACGGAAATTTGACACACGTAAACGCGGAAATAAAACGACATAGTTATATTGGGCGGATGCTTACATTCGGATGCGTTCTTTATCCGCCGAGCGACGATAATCCACGAACGGGAATAGAAAAAGCTTCCGTCGGAGATGATTTGTTGAGCACCGGATCGGGAAAACGTCCCGCGAGCGGATAGCGTCGCGACGAGACGTGAGCGTTCGTCTCTCGTGAGACGCACGGTGAGCTCGTAAATCCGGCTTACGAGTTGGATAGAATATAGAGGAGAGGGAGAAGGATAGAAGCGAGGGATAAGGCTGCCACGGCTACCGCCGTGGAAGAAGAGGAGCTACGCGAGCGCCGGAAGCAGGGGAACCCTTCAGGCGTTTAAGGGGATAATCTTAAGTGGAATACTATTCTTTTCATGAAATAAATTATATGTTTATATAGGAAAGGTATGGCCCTTTTAAAATATGTCCTCGATCCTGTGGGACGAATTTGTGAAATATAATACGCCCATTGTCTCACCGCACCGTGACATTTTATTTTAAAAGCAGCAAACGTCAGCTTCAGGACGTACGTGTGTTTGATATTAATTATGAATTATGATTAATGTAATAATATATGTGATTAATAAAATTTAGGAATAAAATTCATATTTTCTCAACAGTTAAATCGATGAAAAATTTATACGTATACATATATAATATTGTAAAAAAAGCACGTCCTTTATGACAATTTTTTAATTAGAGGAATATTTATTTTTTAATAATATTCATCACTCGTTCTCCTGATAAGCCATTGGCTTATTGTTCTTAACAAAACT